CCGCTTCGGCTGAATATTTTCAGTTGCTGGAATTTTGGTGCATCACTAAATTCAAGCAGATATTTATTCAGCATGGTATAGGTCGTTTTTTATGTTAAATAATCTTTCATTCGTGTGTTTCAGGAAATCATTGATGCCTTTGATATTAAGGAAGCTCTGATTCCAGTTCCAGAGGTTTTGTCTCAAGAAAGCTAAGTTGGAGGATGGCTAACAACAGCTACCGAAACGTTTGTAAAATAAAAAACAAACACTTTTTTATATTTTTAATGTTTGGAATCTCAATTTTAAGAGTTATATCTTTGGATTTTGTACAAAGTGTAATAATTGTGTTTAATACAATAAATGTAAAGTGAACTTGCAGTCAACATTATATTAGGTGGTAGAAATATTTTCATTTCATGGAAACAAGGTTCATAACTCTCCACTGTCTATAGGTTTAAACCTCTCTTCTCTTTCTCTGAATCTCAAATATTCAGAGCAGCAGATCTGTTTTGCACACAGAGACGGTGAACATCACATGGGACCATTATTTCATAAAACAAGTTTGCTTTGTAAACCATTACGCAAAGATATAATCCTATTTGCAAGTCAAAACTCCATTCACACAGCTCCATTCACACAGCCCGAAATCTATGATTTTTTTAATAGATAACAGAATGTATCCTTGCAGATTAACTAAAGTTGCTTGTAGTGTGGATGACAGGTTTATGTTTGGATTCCCCAACTCTAATCATTAATCTTGTCACTAGTGTAGAAACTAAGATGAACCTATTCAAATGGGCCATATCCTGACTTCCTTGTCAGTAATTACATTTAGATTACAGTTGAACTCCACCATCTAGTGGTGAAGTAACTGAATGCACTGGTTAAGCCACACAAAAAAATGATTGAATACATTATCTCGACTGATGTCTCTAACCGGGGATATTTGCACGGTCATATGGGAATATCTGTGTTCTCTTGCACTTTGTTGTCTGTTACAGATTCATATCATATTAAATGCTTATGCAGGGCAGCGATATAGAGCTGTCCATGCGTGCACTAGTGTGACCCTCCATTTGCACACAGATTGGTCCAAGCTTGGATTAACTGCCCTGTAGTTTAAACCCACTGACACCTGAAACCTTTTGGAGGGATCTGCCTGCTGTCTGAGCAACATTTATGTTCTCAAGACGCTCCTCTCGGCAGCAGGGACTTTTTGGACGGTGTGGTGTAAATCTGTTTTCAGGCCAGTGGTTGAAGTTGTGATTTTTTTTGTATAGTTTCGGGCAGCTGTTGTTTTTGTTGGTTTCTTACAGTAATTGGTTTTGTGTGTGTGTTTTTTTCCCCCAATGACATTTTAGATTTTTCACCCCAGATTTTTTATTTTATTTGTTTAAAAGTTTATTATTTGTTTGTTGTAGGCGCTTTATATGCTTTTTTTTTTGGGGGGGGGGGGGGGGGGATTCAAAGTGGCAGAGATCCTGTCTTACTTTTAAGAAAATGTCAGCATATACAAATAATGGGAAATTATTTATTTAGCTTTTAATTGCTTTTAATAGCTTTTAATTTAATTGTACTTTTTCCTAGTCTTTTATGAGCTGTTGTGTAGTTTCTATTAAAGACTTTATAATTTAAATGTTTTGGGGAACTGCAGTATGTTTGCCTGCTGTCCATTTTTAGTTCATATAATTTAGATTAAGTTATGCATCTAAACACATGATGTGTTTATTTGAACTCTTGAGAATTTTTCCTTCCATTTCAAAGTAAAGGTTGCTTTTTTGTTGAAAGCTCATTTTCCATAGGGATGCACAGATAATAAAATTCTGTCCAATACTGTTCATTATTTTCATGTAATGACTGATACAAAAATTCAGAACAATTTAGTCTTAAATAAATGTGCTAAACTAAAATCAGTAGTTTTTGTCAGTGTCAATGTTGTCATTCTTATTTTAGGCGTCAAACACTTAAATAGTACATTTTGACCAATATTGCTATATTAAATTCATTCATATTGATAAGAGATATGATTCTGATAAACTGTGCTTTTAATGATGGTCCAGATGTGATTTTTAATGTGTTTTATTTTGCCTCACACGGCAATGCTGGATTGGAGGCAAATCTGAATATGATTGACTTAACTGCAGCCTGCCCTTGCAAATGTTCAGTGATGATATTTTTAAACTTTAAAATAAATAAATGTTGTTATTATTATTTATTTTTTTAATGCTTGGAGGAATTTTTCCAATTTTTTCATCTTTTTTTTTTTTTTCAAAGAAAAAAAACAAGGTACAATTATGATTTCATGTTAATGCCAGTTAGAGAATAAATATTTTCAATTTAGTCTGTGAATCTTCGTACGGCTTTATCTGTGTCATTGACTTTTTTTTATATTTTGAAATTCCTTTATTTTCTGCCACTGTCCCATTTCACTTGAGTGGCTCCATCAGATTTCCTCTGGCGATTTTCTTTGATGCTCAGCACCGTGTCATCATGCCGACTGCTGTTGCTTTTATAAACCCGCAGATGCTCTGTTCTTTTATTTTTCTCGTTCTCATTCCCCTTTTCTGTCCTCCCCTCCTCTCTCTGCTTGTGTGACGGTCGCTGTCGAAAACAGAGGGGCTTTTTAGCCACTTGCAGAGCAGCATCTCTTAGCATCACTGCAAACCCAGACGAAGGAAGGGGGGAAAAAGTCTTTTTTTGAATCCTCAACTGTGCTATTTATATAATTGCATTATTATATAAGAGAATGAGCATGTATGTCATACTTATACCCTGGGCATTGCAGTAGATGATGCTTATTCACACACACTCCCTCACACACACATACACATGAGGGTATCCTTGCACACTTGCACTCACTTGCTCACACCCTGCTTGCATTGCTCAGCGATGCCATTTCTTTGGAGTGGGGATGCAATCCTGGAGAGACTATTTTTGCAAGCCTTGTAGTGCTTCTGTCACCTCCCCTCAGGAGGACATGGAATACAGGATGGGAAGCTGCATCGGAGTCGCACGGAGCCAGGTAACACCGCATCTCTCAGATACTGCAGACAGAATGGCAAAACCAAACGAGAATGAGTGAGAAGACATCGGCGGCTGTTTGGTGGTTGTTAATGCAGGAAGAAAAGGGGATGAGGGGGAGTATTTGTGTCGGACTGGGCTGACGTCAGGGGGATATGAAAGAAAAAGCGTGTATTTTTGGCTGTTTCGTCTCATACTGGCCTGTGGTCGGAGCTCTGGAGTGGAGATGAAGAGAGTGAAAGGAGACGGGAATGGAAGGGAAAAAAGAGGGGGAGGTGCAAAGAGATCCCTGACAATATCTGTACAGTGTGAGCGGGGAAAGGAATGACAGACATGGATAAATGGAAAGCACTAGACACTTTGCATTTTAGGCAAGATTGCAACAAGTAAATGATGTCTTGTGCTCAAAATAGAGATAGTTTGAGAGAATTAAATAAGGAACTGATTCCCATGACAACAAGACATATTTGTGCATTCAGTATCTGTTAAGTGAATGCTTAATTTATACATAACTGATCCGTAAATAAGAAATGATTGTTTATAGACATTAAATGCTGTCTTTATGATTTATTAATAACTTGTTATTCAGCCTCTCTTAAGTGATGAGATGCACTACAGTCATGTTATACTTGTTTTAATAGGCATTTTGAATAGGAATGTTTGTTTAGTCACTTTATTTTAATAATTGTATAATAATCTTAATCGTTTAATACTGCAATGATATCAGGGAGGAGAAGGGGTGTGTTGCGTGACTGCCAGCAATTAAAAAAGGATTTATTACAGTGACCAGTAAATACTTTAATTCATGTTTTCTTTATGCTTTTAAAAGGTGGTTTTGTATTTTGTATGTATCAAAAGGTGTGAATGATTATTTAGTGAATAAGTGAAATGGAGTGTTGTTGTGTTTAAGAGTGTAAACGGGTGAGGTTAACAGGTTGCAGATAATGGAGAATACATAAATAATGCATTTATGTATTATTATTATGCATTGCATGGTTTTCCAATGGGAAACAGCTGTGTGGTTGAATTTAAGTTTGAGTTCGAAGGAAAGATCACAATCTAGGGAGTTAAGCAAGAACGACTGGAAATAGTCTTTGAATGGAAGGTCTTGGAGAATGGCGGAAAGAGCTGAAAACACTGGTTTGGTAAGTTATATTCCTTTGCCCTGTTAACGTTTTTCACTAATTTACTGTAGGCTACATGGCAAAAATGTGCTTTATTAAATTACATTAGTTATTTAACATCACTGGATCAATTTGACACTATACTTTTGGTTACACAATTAAAATGGCTATTACACAGCAAACATGTGGGAATCCAGCAGTGCGAATACCTTGACCAAAACAGTACAGTGACTTGTCGACCTCCAGAAGTAAAAACACTTTCAGTGTGAACAGCATTACGTTAACACTTAGTGTGAATGTAGCATTTCTCAATGACAAGTTTTCAGTTGTTGATGCCATTGTAGAAATTCTCTATTCACAATCAACTATGATTAATGTTTTCTGTGAGCAAAATATTTGTTAATATGAAGGTTACTGAGAAAGCAAGATAGCAATTTGAGGTGACCTGCTCTATGTAAAATTAAATGTATTTTATTAGGCTTCTGATATGACGACTCTTCCAGTCTTTTAATTAATTTATCCGAAACGACTGTGTGCACCTTTAAGAAAGAGATGGAGGATACAGCTCAGAGAAAAGTGCTGTGTAATTGCTTTGGGGCCCTGTTGACAGGCTAAGAGGGTTGAGGGAAGGGTAAAATCCTTTCTGCTTAGTTTATGGCATTGTGTTTGTTTACAAGTGTTACCAAGGGCCATGTACCGTCCAGCTGACTCTGTCATCTCTACCCCGTCAGAAACAGTGCACCCCCCCCCCCACCCCCCCCACACGGGTCTCTCTGTCAACCCACTGCTTACCCCCTCTCGCCTGTATTTGCCCTCTTGCCTGCTCATACTCTGTGCAGATATAGAACCCGATGTGCCAGTTGTCTCAAGTTTGTTTACCGTGGTGTATAGCTGCAAAGAACACAACCTAAAGTTCTATTGACTCTGTGACAGTGTGGATAAATGCTTCTGCCTCTGTGAGCTGGGTGAGTGAATTTGACGTGACTATATGCTGTTATTACTTTTGAATTTAACACAGTGACCATTACTAGTTCAAATGAGGTGATTTACTGAACTGACATAAATCTTTAGTATCACTTTAGATTTCCTTTCGTTCACTTTAGGTTTTGGTCCATTTTTACACTTAGACTTCATAGATCAGTGATATAGGGAAAAAACTAAACAAATGCCCATATAAATTAATCATATTTCTGTTGTTTTAAGGTTGTATTATGCAATATTGTGGCACATCAAATTTGGTCACACTTTATGTTAGGTGTTTTTAATACTATGTACTTAACCTTTTTAAAAAAAATTTTGTAAGAGGTTAAGTATATTCTTATTGTGTTCATGCTGTATTGCAAAACACTTTTGCTGCTGTTGAAGTGGGATAAGGGTAAGGCAGGCACAGGTTTAGTGGTATGGGTAGGTTAAGGAAAGGGTCAGTGTAATTATAGATGTAATTACATAATTAATTACAGTCGTAATAAAATGCAGGTAATTTTTAAATTTTAAAAATGTAAATACAATGTAAAAACATGCATGCACACAATAAGTGCATTGTAGCAAATTATTAAAGGGTTAGTTCACCCAAAAATTAAAATTCTGTCAGTAATTACACACCCTCATATTGTTCCAACCCCGAAAGACTTTTGTTCATCTTCTGAACACAAATTAAGATATTTTTTGATGAAATCTGAGAGCTGTCTCACTCCTTCATTTATATGCTGCTAGGTAATTGCATCTGCCGGCCCAGAAAAGTTAGTAAAGACATTGTTAAAATAGTCCAAGTGACTACAGTGGCTCAACCTTAATTTTATCAAGCGACGAGAATACTTTTTGTGCGCAAAAAACAACAAAAATAACAACATTTTTATATATATAAAAATAACAATACTTTATTCAACTATTCATTTTCTTATGTGCGAGCCTCTGAGTGAGTTCACGAGAGCGCCACGACCCATGCGCGAGAACTGAGATGACACTCACGATCATTTGATGGGAAAGTGTGAAAGGTATTCATTTAGCGGCATTGGTAAGGCACTTTTACGTTTTCTCGTTGGTTTCTCAGGATTCAGACATCCAGGAAATGCACACTTTAGAACCATTTTAAACACTACATCAAGACCCATCTGCGTCATCTTCTCAGTTCTCGCGCATGCGTCGTGGCGCTCTTATGATGATTTTAATGATGTCTTTACTAACTTTCCTGGGCCGGCAGATGAAATTACCTAGCAGCCTATGAAGGAGTGAGACAGCTCTCAGATTTCATCATCTTAATTTGGGTTCCGAAGATGAACGAAAGTCTTACGGGGTTGGAACAACATGAGGGTGAGTAAAAACTGACAGAATTAAAATGTTTGGGTGAACTAACTCTTTAAATGCATGGTTAGTTTACCCCAAAATGAAAATTCTGTCATTCATTTCTCAGTAGCTATTATCTATTTAATTAAAATTCTGTACGAAATAAGAAATCTATATTTTTTTTCCTTTTCAATAATAAGCCAGAAGTCCAGGAATAAGGAGGACCCGTTCTGTTCTGCTTGAGGGGTGTTCTTATGTCAGCAGGCATTCATGCTTGCAAGTGATTCAGCCATGCTAAAGGAAGGTGATTTTAAATTATTAGTGGAAGATATGGGTCTGGATAATATTTACATTTTGTGTGTGTGTGTGTGTGTGTGTGTGTGTGTGTGTGTGTGTGTGTGTGTGTGTGTGTGTGTGTGTGTGTGTGTGTGTGTGTGTGTGTGTGTGTGTGTGTGTGTGTGTGTGTGTGTGAAAAATACGACATCTAGAAGTCTGTTTTTGTTTCGGTTTATATTACGTTGGATGACACAAACATAATCAGGGATGGAATTACCCTCCATTTACTCAAATAGCTCAGAACGACATGCTCAAAACACTGCCGTCTTTTGTCTTCTCTCTTGTTTATCTTATTGATCGGTTGTTTCTGAAAGCCCGGCCAAATCTAAACTTGACTCTTGTCTTTAGACATTGCATTGAAATCATTGTATAGGCCTATTTATTACATAGCACAGTTTGTTTGGAAGGGAAACTTATGGGAAGACTTAAATAATGAGTGACAGACTGGCGGTGCTAGGGAGGGGCTTCAGCACCCCAAAGAAAGACCAAAGCACCCCGATAGCACCCCCAAATTTTTTTTCTGGAAACAATTATATTCAGGCTGTATTCTATGGGAGCCCTGAACCGCATGGTGAAGAGTATCTTGTTATTTCGAGATATTAAGTCGTTATTTCGACATAATATCTCGTTATTTCGACATAAGTCGTCATTTCGACATAAGTCGTCATTTCGACATAATATCTCGTTATTTCGACATAACTCGTTATTTCGACATAATAATAACTTATTTCGACATAATAAGGGGACATTCTAATCTGCATTAAGCCATATTAAGCGTTCTTATAATAGTTTTCTATGGGAGGAAAATGCTTAACGTGTAATTAAATGCGTTGCGTTCATCTGGGCTCATCTGGTTTTTTGTACACACAAAGCCTACTTTAATATGATTTTAGTATCATAATGATAAGTAAATGCATGCACAATTATCCGTGAACCTGATAAATGTTGCAAATATGTTTTACTATGCACAAAACAAATGCCTGTCAACTTATGTGAGCAAGATTCAGAATTAAATGAATGTGCAGCAATTTGTACAAATAGGGAGTCTGTAGGCCTACTATATGTGTTGTAGCCATTAAATAAGCGCATTTAGTTTCATATTTGTTAACATTTATAATGTTATTTTTTTTTGTATATTTATTTTCCATCTATGTTGATTATGAAAAGTGAACAGTATGAGTAAGATAGGATGCGCAATATATCGGAAGACATATGGAGTGGGTCAGACATGATTTTGACCACTTCATTAAGTTTTGTTTTGTAGAAAGCCTTTCTTTAAAGTGAATTTCGTTTTGTATAAATTGTATCTTAATTTTAATACATTTTTCATCAACAAATTGCCTGGATTTAATAAATAAAAAGCAAATAGAGCAGGCAATATAATCATGACATGGAGGCGCCGACGCGGTCACTTGCATTGCGCGTGAACTGAAGCGGATCTCATCATAAATTAACCGAAACTCAGTGTATGCCTCACAGACATGAGAAATATATCGATAGAAAGCTTAAAATGTCTGTAAACTAAACAATTGAAAATGAAAAGAAATAGGCTACTCTCTGATTATGTAATCCATTATGTGCATTTCTCTCTATAGGCACGTTCACCATGGAGATGGCGATCATCAACTTCATCTTTGCAGCCGACACTGACATAGAAAACACTAGTTTATTAATAAAAATCAATGCACGCGTGTCACCGGATTTACAAATGCACATCTTGCTTGTTGCAGCACACATATTATGTCGAAATAACGAGATATTATGTTGAAATAACATTAATAATAATAAATCTTTAAGACTATTTGATTGAATGCTGAATGTTGTGCTTGTTCAATTTAATAAAATTAAAACTTTAATTGTGATAATTAAAATAATTGAATATTAAATATTGAGTGGCCAAGTTTTGCTCATTTATGAATAGTATTGATATAATATATTATATATATATATAATTGCGCAGCTCCCCCTGTCAAAGATCTAGCACCCCCTCAGCACCTGCGTTAAAAATTCTCTGGCGCTGCCCCAGAGTCAGGAACAGCATCTATTTATAACAAGTTTCGTATTCAGGTTTCCAGGATTTTGAGCAGGCACTGATCACCCAGCAGAGCCGCATAGACACACAAACATAGTCTTTATCAACTCTTCGATATGATCTGGAACATTGTTTGACACAAAAGTTTTGTGTTTTGAAGGTGCTACACAAAAAGTATTTGATATTGTATTTTACATTTCATTTTAAAGCTAAATCTCCAGTAGTTATATAATTTTATCGACTTCCTTCCAAACACTTCCCACTCTACATCTATGTTTTGGTGATCATGGACCTTCAGTTAGGGTTGACACCATATTTAATTTGGTGTCTATAACCGAAAATGTGTTTGTAAGGGATAGAAGTACAGTCTTAAGGTCTCAAACCATGTCTAATTTCCAAGATTTGTAGAGTAATGACTCTCAGCAGGGGGAGACAGAGAGGGTTTTCTTTTGACTAGTTGATTTCGGCAGTAATCTCCCAGTCACACGCATCTACTAGCACAATCTGTCAAATGATGAGCTTACTGCACCAGATTAACCCACTAACACTAATGGGACAAAAACAGACTCCCACTCACAGAGCTAAAACTGTGCCATTGTGCCATGCAACATGTCACTGATCTTAAGTTCTCTTGTGCCCATATGAAAAAACTAACCTTAATGTTTAATATTATACACCTAGGAGGACTAGTATTTCTGAATTTAAGATCACACCCTCAATCTTCAGTGAATGCTCATGGAGAATAAAACACAGCACTAGATAGGGATATGGTGTTTTACAGAAGGTTTAGATAGATGGGATCCCGTGTATGAGTTTCTTCACATTAGAACATGCTGTAGTTGTGGTTGTTTGAGGGGGCGACAGCTTGACTGATGGGCCCTGGAGCTTTCTGCAGAGTGCTGGCCGCGGGTCAACAGTGTGTGCGAAATGCTCCAGGAAGCTGATTTATGTTTATAATGAGCTTGTGGTGTTCTTAAAAGAGATTCTGGCCAGAGCTCTGTTAGACCCATCTAGAAGAGCTTTTTTTATGGGCTAATAAGACGCACTCCTCCACTCACTCTCACTAACCTTCACACAGTGAGCAACTTCTCAAGCCAGATGTGCAATGGGCCTGAAAATATCATTCGCTTATTGTGGCTTGGTGAAAAACGGACAGTTTGAAATTATTTATGGATATCAATCGATAATGAACTTTAAATCAAGGATGGTATTAAAACGTCATTCTCGTAATTGCAAGTTGGCAGAGAAGGATCATAAAAACTACACACATTTTTTAATGAATGGACTTAATGGTCAAAGAAAAAGTGCGTTCAAATTATTGTGAATATATAATGTTAATTTTTCTTATATTTCACCAGGAAAATTGTTGTGATTAAATGTACACTATAATTCAAATGTTCGGGTCAGTGCAATTTGTGAGAGAAGTCTCTCATGCTCACCAAGTCTGCATTTATTTGATCAAAAATACAGTAAAAACCGTGATATTGGAAAATATTGTTACAATTTAAAAGAACTGTAAAGCGGAATTTTCAGCAGCCATTACTCTAGATTTTTATTATTTTTATGGAAACCATGACACAATTTTTCCCTATAGGATTTTTTTGATGAATAGAACGTTATTTTTTTTATTTTTAATTTTTTTACAGCATTTATTTGAAATATAAATCTTTACTTTCACTTTTTAACAATTGAATGCATCCTTGCTGAATTAAAGTAGCCTATTCATTTTACTGATACCAAACTTTTGAACAGTAGTGTGTATTTGACATATAAGTTAACATATTGCCCACCCAGCATAATCACATTCAAAAATGTTCTCTTTTATCCCACAGTCTATTGATTTAAAATTATCATTATTTAGAATATGACACTATGGCACCAGCAACGAGAACTTTACTGTGAACCGGCCCCAGTGCAGTTTGAGTGATAAATATAGTGCAATGGGTATAATACTCCTCTGTTGGCTATACTGTCCCTCTTTTTTGAGAGTCAGATTGTCACAGTTTCTTCTGGGTTTTTGTTTTCGTATTCTTTGGTTTCAATCTGGTTTATTTAGTCTGTGTTCTGGACTTTAACATTCGAATTATAGATTCAAAACCTGCACTTGAAATCTGAACTTCTGTGAAGAGTTTGGATTCTCTAACAGATTGTTTGATTCATTCAGGCCTTTACGTAATAGTTATTGTACAAATTATTGTATAACTGTTGCCTGAAAGCCATGACTATATTAATATTCTTAAGTTTTTCTACGGGACAGCATCTCTGCACTTTGTTCTGCTTTCATCAGAGCCTCTTAATCTCAACACATGACATACTTGCACACATATTTCACTCCCTGATCGCTCAAAGCTTAGTGTTTCACTGGATGTCTGATGAGGAAATAGTGTTTGTAATTCCTTGACAGTGTCTGCTTTCTTCACATTGGTCTCTCAGTCGGTCTGGTCTCGGTCTGATGTGAAGGGGTCCCCTGCCAGCCCCGCTCAACAAGATGGGCAATGAGAACAGCACTTCAGAGCTTCCGGTAAGAGGGTTTCTGTTGGGACATACCTGGCTCAGCAGCACCGCATTATTCGTCTCTTCTGAAATGCTTCCCAGGCTTGAACTACAACGCTTGTGTGCCTTGAATGAAACTACACTTGCTGTTATGACTTTTTTTGGTGACATCTGTTAGCATTCCCACACAACTGACATACTGCCGGTGACAAGCTGTGCTTGAGATAACAGCACATATATAGACAGAAAGAGTGCTGTGGTAAAAATCATGCGCTGCTGTTTTCATTGTGTTGTCAAACATTCTGACTGCATTTCGTTTTGAAAGAGTGCAGATGGTCAGTGTATGGCTAGTCATTCTGTGTGGGATTTTTCCCCCCAGTATTAACCACTATGCTGTTTCCATCACTAAAAGTAGAGACGCTACTAGCCTATATTAACTACATTTTCTCAGTAGCATGACAGACATTTGGCTGCTTAACGTGCAGCTTTTCCAGTAGCTAGCTCAATGAGTAACATTTTTCAACAAGTAGGCCTAGGCTAGTGGTGTCGCGTGACCAACCGCTACATCATGTTTTTTATTTTAATTTTGTATGTCTGAGCAGATGAAATAATCAAACGCGCTCACCTCAATGGTCCTCTCTCTTAGCGTTGGAAGGTTCAATTAATTAAAATGAATTGATTCATTCTAAACGGTTCTATCTCACATATGAATCACTAGAATGCCCTATTCATTCTAGTGAATCGGTTTGTTATAAACGCTGCCCATTTGTAGCGCTGGGATCTCTGTTTCATTCTACTGATTCAGTTCTTTCAGGTTCTTTGTTTTTTACCAAGTTATAGGATTTTTTTGTTGTTGTTAGGCTATAGTTAATATAGATTTACCTGTAGACTACTTGTGATCTAGGCTACTGTAACCATGACTGTCACCATTAGGCCTATAAATTGTAGTAGTCCATTACTGAATACAAATTACTTGATTTTTTTGTTTTGTCATAACGTTGTCTAGCCTACACTTTTGGTAATAGGCCTATAATCTGACTACTATTAACCTAGCTAATTATTTATTCAAAACAGTAGCTTAAAATGATTAGTTTAACTAGCCTACTATTTCAAAGTAGCTTCTCCAACAATGATCCCCATAATTTAAATCTTTCGCACATATCTTTTGCTGCTGATGTGATAATAACTCTTTCCCACCATTGACAGAAATTTCTGGCTTTCCGTGTTTTCACTGTTAGGCTATACGGTAGATTCTCTAGGCTACTTCTGAAAGAGTAGAGAATCTCCTGATCAAAACACAGGCGACATAAACAAGCGATAGCAAGTAAAATAACATGACCATCAACATTAAACAGCATCAAAACTGGTTAATAATGTTACTGAATGAAATGTCGACCCAGGACGAGGTAGGACTGTGCAGGCGTTGGGGTGTTGATGGTCTCGCTCCATCTATGTTTGATCATCGTTCTGAAGGATGTAGGCCTAGTCTTTAACAAAAACATGATTTTCTCAGTTTTTTGCTCAAAATGTTGCTTTTTTTAAAATGAAACTTCACACATTCAAGTGTTGATAAAAAAAGGAATGCATGAAGCTAGAATATTTTTTTTTTTTTTAAAGGAGAGGGTCTATTCTTTCTTTTGATATAGGCTATTGCATATTCAGATATTCATAAACTTTTGCGAAAATGATCAATAAAAAAATGCTGGCGGTGGCTGGCATCTTTTTCAAAAATGCTGGTGGGGAAAGAGTTAAAATTCATTTATGAATTCCGAAATGTGGTTTGATCTTCAATGGACCCTGAAAGGAATAATTTGGGCGATGTTATGCCTAACTGAAAGGCTACTCAACTTGGAATTCAGGGTTTATCTTAATAGGATCAACCTATTTGGCTCTGTGCTTTTTCATGGATGACTCCAACCAGTTTGGTAGGTTTCCAGAACGAACGTTAAGTAGGCCTAGGCTACTCTCTGTAAACTTCCAACAACAACAACAGCACCGTAGACTGCCTGAGGTATATGATGACTCAAATCTGCCATGTATTTCTCCTAAGACTGTTCCTATATCTCCAGAACCTGTATCCATCTCTCCTTTTGCATTACACCTATATGTCTCTGCCACAGGAGGGCGCTCCAGACAACGTGGTGTTATTTCCTCCAGAAGAAACACAGTCTGCCGTGGTAAATGAGGTGCTGGAGGGGTTCAGCATGTGTGTGTGAAGTTGCACTAACAGTGTGCATGGTATTTCTACGTTAACTTTGGTTCAGAAACAGCCCAGGATAACAAAATATTTAGTGAGAACATATAGGGGCAGTTAACATGTGGATTTAGTTTAATATTTTGCTTAAATGTCTCTCAGCATAGCCAAGCTGGTTTTCAGCTTGTCTAGCTGGTGTTTAGTTGGATGGCCAACTTGTCTCCCATAGATGACTAGCTGAATAGTGCTGGTCATATAAAACAATTACAAAACCAGACAAACCTTGGATGTCAGCAAACTTGCTTAGGCTGTTGTAAAAATTATTATTATTAGTAGAGGAATGAGCTTTGCTTTGCAAAGAATTACTTTATAATAAGTTTTTAATTAGTCTTTTTTCACTTGTTAAGAATTATTTTTTTTGAACATCTTTAACAAATAAAAAAGTTTTACTACGAAATACTCTAGTATTAGAACAGGCCAACATTATCTGAAAACAAGTCCTGATATCTCATGCAGCACTCACTGCGACATTATAAAACTATCTTGTTTTAAGGATTTGAGAGATTATAGAAATGCTTGAGAATAGGCCTATAGGGATTTTTGCAGTGGAAAATGCCACTAAAAAAAGAAGCCACTAATAACTGCCAAACTTACCTTCTCTAAGGAGAAACACACACATTTGCACGAGAACCGTGTTAAATATTAATTTTTCTAGTTATGCCAAGCTCTAAAATATTTTATCAGGTAAAATTGTGAGTAAAGAATATTACAAAAAAATTATTATGCAGTAATCATGAACAACTGGAAAGGTCATGGGGCCTTTGAATATTATTGTGGAGGACAAAGGGAGGCCTTGCAGTCAAAAAGGTTGAGAACCACTGCAGAGTCAGCCTCAATGTTTAAAATTCAGCATTAGGCTACTATTATTTAACAAGTCTGTATTCTGTTTAAAATCATTGAGTTTAAGTGTAAATATATGTTTCTAGTTCACAAAAGCCTCAAAAGTTAGTCTATATCATGTTCCCCCCCATGCTAGCTACTTTGAGATTGATCTTTGGCCCATTTCCCAGTGTACACCTGCAGCGTGTGCATCAGAGTGCAGTCCGACTCCTCTCTCAGTCCCCCAGCAGGAAGTGACAGAACAGCAGCAGAGCACACATCAGAAGCAGGAGCTCGAGAGAGAGGGAGGGATCAGAGGGCAGAAGCGTCATGCTCAACGAGTTACCCGGAGAAGGGGGAGGGATCACTACTCAAGTTGCTCTGTGAGTGTCCTAGTCTGAGATTTCCTAGTACTGCTTCTGAGGAGGAACAGTCTGTCTCACACTTTCAGGGACTAGCAGAGTTCTCTTCTGAAGGGCATGGATCTGTAGCAGGAGAGGTGAAGGGAGCTGAGTCAGGAGTCTGTGGATGAGACAGGAACATAGGCAGCATGTGTTGCAGCATGTTTATGTCTTTACCCGGCTGAACCAAAACACACACACACACACACACACACGTCTCTGATGCACTGTGGAGCCGCTGCGTTCTCGTGCAAATGTGTGTTCCTCCTTAGAGAAGGTGAGTTTGGCAGTCATTTAGTGCGTTTTACACTGAAAAATCCCTATATTCTCAAGCATTTCCACCTCTCGTTTAATCTCTCAAATCCTTAAAACAAGATAGTATTACAATGTTGCAGTGAGTGCTGCATGAGATATCAGGACTTGTTTTCAGAGTGTATTTCGTAGTTTAACGTTAAGATGTTATTTTAACATATTTTTTAGACTCTTAACAAGTGAAAAAAACACTAATTAAAAGCTTATTATAAAGTAATTTTTTACGGTGTAATAGTTGTATTGCTTCTGTATTTACATGTGTTAGCTGAGTACAGTAATGTGTGCTTTCTGAAGAGGGATAATATTTTGGTCTATTTTATTGGCTATACTAATTCAAAACTGGACGGCATATAATTTATGGGTAGTGTATTTATCCCACAACTATGTAGAGGTCAGTCTGACTCTGCTGTGTTGGGCTTATATGATTGCCATGACAACCAGTAACCCTGCACAGTCAGGACGCATGGTAGTTAACAGCAGGGATTTACTGTAGTGGAGGACAATGTGGGCTGTTAAAGAGGCAGGGCAAAAGAGACCATATGGGGTCCGCTTTTCAGGGCCACTCATGCTGTAGGTCAAAGGACAATGATAGACTGCTCTTTTTTTTAAAGGTTGCCTATTTCATATCTGGGGAAGAGATGCCCACATGCAGCTTTAACATTGTTAGCACACAGACAAATGTAACTCATCGAGAGTGACTTATTTTAGTTACTGTGTGCTCAATTGAGTTTTTTAGGGTTTAGATAGGCTACATGTTAACAGCGTACAGGAAACAGGAAGCTGTGGAACTTGAAACTAACCATGAGAAACAAGATCATAAACAGATAAAGTGTGGTATTATTCTATTAAACTCTAGTGGAGGTGTGAATGAATGTGGTTTATGCAGCATGAACAAAACCTCAATGATTCAATGAAGGAAAAGTAATTATTTTATGATTCAGGTATTTGTATTATGTATTTGGCTCATGATTTAACTTGTTATATAATATACAGTATAAAGCATTATAGCTCAACAAAATGTGTATGATTCAAAATCTAGTGTATTACTCAATATCTAATTTAAACCTGGAAAAAAAGTTTTAGGATTTTGTTATTTACAATTTCTAGTTCAGTAATGCTATGTTTATGCAGATTTATGATACTGACCCCTTTAACCCATTTATACCAAAAATATATTTTCTGTGTTTCCATTGAAGAACAAGATGCTTTTAGAACATTTAAAATTTATGTGAACTTTTCAGTTAAACTTTTAACTCAAATTGTTTTACGATATTGATAATGTAGTTTATTGCAATAAATAAATAAACTGGTGAAGTATTTTTACTATTACTGGGCAGACTTCTGTTCCCCAATTGCATAAATAAAAATGTAGCTTGATTTGTTAAGTAAAAATGACATCATAATGCCTTGTTTTGTTGTCTGAGGGAGTGTAAACGTCTCAGCTTGATGACAGGACTTTTGGAATGGTCTAGCACTGGGTCGGGTCCACACAGGGGGCTGAGGGAGACTGATTTAGGGATACAGTGATACAGTACAGTGATTGTTCACCGGTGTGTGAAGTGCATACTGTTCTTCAGAGATTTTGCTGTTTTCTGTTGAAAACCCAGCCGTCTGTCATTACAAAATCTTACTGATATTTGAAACCCTTGTGTTTATTCCAGGTTTGGCAAACAAATTAAAATTCTGAATACGCTAATGGAATCCGAACCCTTGAGTTTGTCTGGACTTAGATCTGGGAGTTTCATTCGATACTCTGACCTGATTCAAATTGAGTGGTGTTTGTGCTCACAAAGGCCTGGGAATGTAGATCAATGTATGAATTCACTCATGTCTTAAAGCTCAGAGAGAGTATAACACGTAACCTACAGCAGAGGTGGGAATGCATGCGTATATCGAGTGTGCACTGGAGTCTAAGATGATAAAAACAATGGGTAATGGATGTGGGGCTTCTGTGTAATGTATCTCTAATGTGACCTGTGTTCCAGAGAGCCTGCAACATGATCTTCTTTTGCTGCACAAAGACTTGCCTGTGAATCATACTGTCGATCAATGAGTGAAATGAGTGTGTGTCTGTGTTTTGAAGGGTTTTATTATGCAAAGGAGATACTGAAAATTAAATAAATACATCTAATTGTCATGTCACTAACATCATATCCTAACATAAGGATTTTAGTTGAATATTTTCTTAGAATGTATAATTCGCCGTAAAACCTGTGCCAAATAAATATGCGGATGATCCGCTATTTTGACCCCTAATATGAACAGCCAAATGTGAGTGAAGGAGATTTCTTTGAACGTATAAAGGGAAGTATTTTAAGTAACCACTTAATTTAATTGAAGTAATTTCTTAAAAAATATGACTTCTGTTTTGTAGTTCAATTGTCTTGCAGTATGAAAAATGCATTCTAAATTTAAACACTATATGTAAATAAATTCTGCATATAGTAATTCTACATTTATTTTTTGTGTTTGTTTGGCCTGGCCTAACCCTTTACAAAATGCTTCAGAATGCATTTAATCTTGTAGTTCAGTTGAATGAAGCCATCTTTTTTCATTAGGAAATCACAGTCGCTTATTTTGCCTCATTTGGAAAGAAACAGTAAGCGAATGAATTCTGTGGAAGTTCCCTGCGAACCTTGAATTACCTTTTTAGTTTACAAGCATATGTTGTGTATGAGCACGTCTGAACTGAGGGCAAATGAGCATGTCTGAACTTATCCTTAATGCCTTGCTGATATGTTGGATTCCTTGAAAACATGTTTATTTTTTAAGATTTGTCTAAAAATACAGATGGCACACTGATCAGGGTGTGTAGTCTAATCACCTCAGCATTTTATTGACATGGTGGGTGTGTTTTCTTTTTATGTTAAAAGTCAAGCCCTGTACATGTAAAGAAACATAATCTCGGTTTGAACGACTAACTTGTTCATTAAGTGGCAAGTAGGCCATTTTAAGTGTGTGCAGCTGGTCTGAGTGATTTACGGATCTCAGATTAAAAACAGATTGCGCCAGTCAGTGCTCTTACTACTTTTATTGCGATTCTCAGGCCGCAGTAAACACTGACAAGGTGAGCCCACTGAAGGAAAAGTCTGTCCACACTGATTCAGTCACTACGGAGCCACAGGTGCCTGCTGACGAAGAAGAAAAGCCACAAAGACAAGAAGAGGAGGATAAAGAGGAGCTAGAGTTTCCCCATGATCTGCTGCCCAGCATAGACCTTGACCTCAGCACTGAGTTCAATCTCACCTGGGGAACCTCACTTGGGTAAGTCTCAACTATTTCTTTCTCCCTCACACACACTAATTTACTCAAGAATTTTGTTGAGTAGTAGACCTTCATCAGACACTTATCAAGGGGCAAGTTTCAACAGGATGGCTGATTCTGTTGAAAAGTTGTTCACACGTCTGATGCAAATTTTTCTGCCTTTCAGTTATGTTTTGCATACACATGTCTGGTAAACAAAAAACTTTTTTTTCTTTTTTGTGTGCAAGTTTTGTACTCTAGAGACAAAAATAAAGAGATTAAAGACGTGATAATTGTTAATGTGTCTAGTCTAATCAAAGGGATAATTCATCCAAAAATGAAATTTCTTTCATCGTTTACTCGCCCTCATATCGTTCTAAATTTGAATGACTTTCAAGGGAAGATATTTTGAAAAATGTCACATGCAGGATTGAAATGAGATTAGGGTGAGTAAATGATGACAGAATTTTCATTTTTAGATGAACTATCTTTTAAAGAGACCATTAAATTGTGAGCTCACCTGGGAATTGAGGACACAAAGAATAACGCAAGTTCATATCTGTCTTGAAACTGGAAGCCACAGATTGGATCGGACTCTGACACTTGCCCACATTTTTACAATCTTACTCTGTTTCACAATAAGAGCAAAACAAAACACTGGACTTATTCTATAAAGATCCTTTCTTATACTCACTTGGATGGATAAACACAGAGTGAATTCCATTAATCTCTGACTCATTCCTATGGAAAACTTGACTGAATGGACTATTGGCAGGCCTACAAAAGAGCCGCAAACCTCACCAGCTGTTAAGGTGGTGCAGCCAAGGTACAATCCAGTGACTTTTATTTTACATGATTTTATGGATGTAATGCTTATGAAAATGAAAGGCTTGTTTGCAGACATCATTTTTTACATTATGAATTACATTATTTATACATATTTTTTCTATGAAATATACTCTGTCTTTATTAGTATGTAGTGTATTAGTGGGATTTTAACAACAGTTCATATTGATGAACACAGCTAGAGTTTGCGGAGAAATCTCTTTCTACAGTACTTAAATATTTATTCTACGACCTGATCACTTTAAATATCTGTTGTCAATTCTAAGACTAAAATGGCAAAAATTGGAAATGTTATGAATTTCACGCAAATAAATTGTACAATGCATCACACAGTCTGTTCGTATAATGTTTGTATTTTGATAAAACCTGGCGGCTTTGATTTCTTTTAAAACTTTATTAGTCATTTATTCTTTAAAATAATGAGCCCGGTGTTATGAGGCTCATATATTAAAGAGTATTTATTTGTGAATGTGTGTATAGTTGTGAGCAGGTAGGCCTGGGTGAGATGAAGAATGAGACTGTGGCACTGGGTGGCACTGCCAACCCTCTGCTGGCAGGCCTAGAGCAGTACATGGAGGCCAGTCCACCAGTAGTGGACCTCATGAAGAGGTAACCGAGTAATAATGAAAATGGAGACAGAGAGATACCAGTCTGCTATGGCACAATAGATGGACATTTTTAATTGGGCCAAAGTTTATTTATGTTTTCATTGATGTAATAGATTTTGGTGAGATCTCTTTTGCTCCATTTTGTGTTCTGGCTGTGGCAAATGATATGTGCTGTGTAAATGGAGTTTCCTTCCAGTAAGCACAAAACTTGTTTATATTTCATTGCAATCAGCACATTTGAATGAAAAAGGCGTAAAATATTTTTCCTGATTTTTTTTATTTATAATTTATATAAATGCATATTTATAAACAAAATACAACCAGAAATAGCTTACTTTTTAAGGGTAAACAGTCTAAACACATTTAAAATGTAAGCGTCAAAGGTTGGATGTGGTAATAAAATGATATAAAATGTTTCTTTTTTTTATTTACACTTACATATTTAAGTATTTTGTAAGTATTTAAAACATTATTATTTAAAAAAAGTATTTAAGTATTTAAAACATTATCAACCTTTTCACAACTTAAAAAAACATTTACAACGTAGCTGTGCTTACTGGGTTGGTGGTCTGTTGAATATGTTTGGCTTTACAGTTGGTTGAGCTTGTTTGCTGTGAACTAAACTAGAGTTGTTTTTGTTTGATTTTTGATTGACCAGCTGAAATTACTCTTTAACACGCTTGCATTGTGAAAATGTATGGTTTACCACGCTGAATCAATGTACAGCGTGAGAGATGTCCTCCTTAACCGGAAGCCATGTTTGAGTGTGGTGTGTGTATATTTGCGGTGGTTTCGTGTGTGTGTGTGTGTGTGTGTTAATTTTTTTTCCTGTTGAGAGAATTAGCAACACATTAACAAATCTGGTTGCTAATGCATACACAGATGGGATCTCCATTCATACTTGACATGTTTTAAGGGTATGTTAGTTTCTCTTTAAACTAAATATGGTGTATCATGTCAGAGTAAACTGTTTTAAATACTGTTTATATTTTTATTCATATTTTTTTCCACATCATGTTTTTATGCTGAAAGGGCTATAGAAACGCTTAGGCGAAGGGCAGAGGATTGTGGGTATTGAAATGCTGCCTGACAGTGTAGTAGGGAGTGGCTGCAGTTCTGTAATTCATGCAGACGTGCAGTATGCCAAAAGGCCTCAGGATTTTAGCATATACAAGCATAAATGCCGTAACTTAAACTGCAGTACAGCTGTCTGACTTTCCAGTTATGCCAGAGAAGAGTTATAAACTTTTTTTCCTGGCCTCCTCTGAATGGGAGTGTCAGCTTCCAGTCATAATCATTTCCTGAAAAAAGAAAAAGGCTGCGTGGTTGAGCCTGTTGTCATCAGCAAGCCAAGCTGGCTGATCACATGACCACTCTGTGGTCCAATAGAAAAGCACATGAGGATCTGCTCCCTCATTTGTTTCCATTTGAGGTGAAGGTGATTGATAGATTTTAAGTGTAAAATGACAGGCATAAATGTGTTAGCCATGCTGTCTCTGTTCTGTTAATGCCCCTGGAGGCACAGAGAGAGAAGAACACTAGGTGAGACAGGCAGTGTGGAGGAAGCATGCTTGTCGTACTTTATTGGGATGTTAGTCACTGACTGTGTTTCAGCTCTGGAAACGTGATATAGTCACAGTGATTCACCAGGTTGTATAATGTCTGCCGTAAAAAGGTTGTTTGTTGTTTTCTTTGGCTGGTTTTCTTATATCATATAGGTAGCCACTCACACTAATTACACTACACTAAAAGCATTGATCCATTAACCTTCATATAAAACGTGATTTTTCTGCCAAGTCTATAAGACTTGAGGCTATGGATTCTATGAAGGCTTTTACTTGGCAAACACTCTTATTTCAGCTTTTCAAAATTACAATAATATTTCAGCATCCTGATTATACTCTTACACATGATTGCAAGTGATATATAAAGTTGAAATTAGAAATTGAAGAGGTTTACCCTATGAAAAAATCATGACAGTGTATACTAGTCAGACCTTTTTGATATGTGCTGTGCACTGGTAAAAAAACTTTAATTAAGCAATATTTTTTATCATCAGTTTTTCTAAGCGTTGTTTTCCAACAAAATTATCTAAACATCCTTAACATAAGATGCATTTAGTTGAGAAGCAAACTTGAATGAAAAAAATAATGTTTCAATAAAAAAAAATCCACTATATTTTGTTTTTAAAAATGCAAAATGCTATTGAGATGAGGAATATAAGCTTAATTCAAGTTATATTCTTATTATCTTATGGACTTTTGCTTCTCAAGAAAAGTTTTCCTAGTTTTAAGACAACAAACATGTTTTGCAATGTGTGTGTCTTTAGTTTCTTTTGCTTTTTAAGCACTAAGTTGTGCCCATGCATGAACTCTCATCCTGTCTCTGGCATGAGGTGAAGTTGAGTGCTTTGGATTGGTGTGGAATAAACAACTGAATGTACCTCAGAGCAGATTTATTCTAATGTCTCTTTTTTGGTGAACGCTGTTAGCTGTGATGGTGACAAAGTTTCTACTGAGACCACATCGCTGACCCAGAACCACTTGTCTAGCACACCTCAGCAAGATGTTCCATCCCTTAATCCTTTGGCTGCCCAGGTGGATTATGAACTCCAGGAAGCTTTAAAGGAATGTGAGGATGAAATGACTGCTCTTGGCATAACCTCCCATGCAGACACATGGACTGCAGGTGATCTGGACAGGTGTTTCTCTTTAGCCCTGCCTGAAAATGATGAGAAAAATGAACAAACTGAGAAGGCTGAAGTCATGAAGGATTTTGGTTCATCTTCACATAAACCTATCAAATTTCATGGAGATTGCCATGAAAATGGAGCACACAAAAATGACTCCTCAGCAGGTGAAGAGGGGGTGTTTAGCTTCAGCGATTATGTTCTAGGAAAAAAGATAACTAATACTTGTACAGCTGGAGCTAAGGATGTCAAAAACATCAAGGATATAACAGAAAACCACAGTGAGGAAGCTAGCCAGCTGTCAGAGGCAGAACAGCAAAAAAATTCAGAGATAGAGACAAAAATAGACACAGCTGAGAACATAGCTGGCCAACAAACAACACATAGCATATGGACAGGTACACAAACAACATCAGAGATGGATACAACAAAGGAAACACTTACCCAGGATCAATCAACACAAAATATCTGCCCTTCGAAAAACACCCTGGAAGGTGAGAGCACACAAGATGAAAACAAAATAATTTTTATAGCACACACAACCCAGAGAGAAACCGGAGTACTTCAAGAGTTAAATCCTGTGATCGAAGAAGTCATCAGTTCTGCAAAAGCTACACAGATGAAAATAGAGATGCATAGTCAGTTAATTAGTGATTTACTGGCATGCCAATCCCCACATATGGATAAACATGCTGGTCATACGTTACACTTAGAAGCTAAAATAAGCTTACAACCAAACACACAAAAACAGGTGGAGTCAGGGACACAGCAGCAGATAAGTGGACAGATAGAAACAAACACAAAAGTAGGATCAAGCCTTGAGCATCAAAGACCGGATATAGGACTCTCAGAACAGCTGAGTCCTGTGGGTAAACAATTGATCTGCTCCCCACCTCCAGAACCCAAGGCTCACCAAGCTAATTTTTCACTGGCTGAGGCTCCACCTGCCCTGATACTGCACCCTCCACAGGGGCCAGAGCAACATGATGACCAGGATCAGACAGATGGACCCTACAAATCAATATCAGAAGGTGAAACCATACACCACAACCACTGTACGACAGGGGAAGTAAAACATGAGAAAAATGTGTCTGATGCATCTGCTGTTGTGATTGATTTCTGCCAAGCTAAAACAGCCCCTGAACATGAGCCCGAAGGGAGATATGACTTAGAGACATGTCCACTGGAGCCGGAGAATGGACCTTCTTTAGGCAGTGGAGCCGATGCAAACGCAGCACTGTGGGGGAATTCACACTCTCTGAACCAAACCGGTGCAGAAGAAGAGGAGGAAGAGAGTGCCCTTGAACAGGCTTCAGCAGAGTCCGCTGCCTCCACATTGCTACAAACACCCACGATGCCAGAAATGATCGAAAGTGAGGGAGAGAAGAAGAGAGATGATGCGCTCCAAAGTGTCGCAATGATAGTACAAGCAGCAGAGAGAGAATCGACAGTGCTGGAAGCAGATGAGTCTCCAAGCTCACAGGGAACATTAACTGAAATTACGGCTGAACAGGGACGGCAATGCACCTCAGTAATCTTTCCAAAGATTAAGTGCTCACCTGTTCCGAAAGAGGAGGCGACTGAGGAGAGCTGTGGCAACAAAATGCCACACAACTCGACCGAGAGCGAGGAGAAGGGAGGGGGTCTGCCGATCACACTCTCCCCAGCTGGAAACAAGGATACAGGCACGGTCGACACAGAGGACAAAGCTCTGGTCATATATTCCTCTCCAGGCGTCCTTGGAACATGTGACTGGAAGGTGGGGAGTTCCCGATCAAAGAAGAGAAAAGGAGAGAGTGAAGAGGAGGGGAAAGAGACAAGCAAAGGAGGGGCACAGAACGCAGCACATGCCGGCAGGGTTTCACAGACAGAGGCAGCAACCGAGACGTGTCCATCCCACGGCATCACAGCATCACTAGCGGCGACACAAGACGAGAGTGACCTCATCCTTCCTGTCACAGCAGGCACAGCCCCGTTTCCTCTGACCATCAACAGAATAAACGACTGCGTCTCCATCAGCCCACCCCCTCCTCTTTCCCACATAAATTCTACAGAGACAGAAACGCAGAGAGAGGAAGAGGCTAATCTGAATCCAAGCCCAAGAGCATCAGGAGCAGAATTGCTTGGCAGTGATAGATCATTTCCGCCAGCATTTTCTTTGGAAAACGATTGCCTTGCTGCGCAAGTCAACAATCAACAGGTACAGAGCTCTTCACAAACTAGAACCACAAGCTGTGACACATCCATCAAGACAGAAACACAGCAACAAAAACAAGAAACAACTCCTACAAGTGAAGACGCATCTCAATCAACTAAGCTACAAGTGAACATGAGGGATATCGCTGGAAGTTGTACCAATGTGGAAGGGCGTATGTCTCCAAAAGGTATGCAGACCTCTTTTGAGGACCAAAAGGATACAGCGCTGAAAGGCCAAATGACTGAATGTGCCTCTCTGCCTCCACTGATGGTATTTGAAAGTCTACGACACCCGGTAAAAGAAACTAGCTTTAACTTTAAAGGTTTTCTCACCACCAACAAACCAGAAATAGAAAAGGAAAAATCCAGTGCATTAAAAGAACCTACTGCTTTTGAGGAAGGAGGTAAAGAGGAAAGAAATTGGAAGCAAAAAAAAGTGGAACAAGTGGAAACGACATATAAAGGGTCAAAGGACTGCAGAGAAACGACCAGCACATCTCAAGAGCAGGGTGAGACTACTGTAAAACTTGAAGAAAATGTGAATGTAAATGTGGGTGGTTGTGAAGAAAGTAGAAAAGTGACAGATGAAACTGATGTTATATTTTCATCACTGTCAGCTGCAGATGAGACGACCGGGGTTACTGAAACAAAGGATGTGGTTAATGAAATTCTGGAAGAAACTGAAGCAATTAAACAGAACCAAGAATATAAAGAGTCTTTGAATGTTACTCAGATCAGTCCAAGTGATACAGATGAGTCAGCATCCACTGAGAAGAATAGTGTTTTACTACAGGACGTTTCTCTACAAGAGGGTCGTAACAGCAGTCCTGCTGTGGATGGTGAGCGGGCTGATATTGCTGTGTCTGAAGGAGTTGAACAGAGACATATAGAAATGCTATTTGGCAGCAAGGAAAGGCTGAATGAAGAGACTGACAAAATAAAGGGAGGTGCGTTACCTGAAGCAGATGATATAGAAGTAATATGTCCAGGTAATTCAAAGAATTTTGTGAATGACAGTCGAGAGCATGAGTTATGCATAGAAAAATACACACATGAAGAGGAGTCACAGGTTAAAACCAGCTCCATGTCTCCAGCAGCAGCCCCTGACACAGACAGCATGTGTCCTTGCACTCAACCAGACAAGAAATCCAACACCGAGCATCCTACTACAACCTCAGAGGTGCCACTCCTGTCAAAAGCTGATAAGTGTGCAGACATGCTGACCTATCAGACAGAATCACAGTTTAGTGGTGAAATAATGAAAAGTGATGCAGTGGATGCTGGAGATACAACAGTCCCCTCTCTTCCTGCAGCGGAAACTATAGTACCAGCACAAAGTGATCTTTCCTCAACCACCAAACAAAGCAGTAACAGTGATGCCAGAGATGTGTCTGTCATTGTACTAAAGGCTCCAGGCCCAATGCTGAGTCACTATGAGTCCATTAATGACTGTGATATTGCTGTAGCAGGAACCGGGGAGCATTGCAGTGTGAACCTTGTGTGTAAGTCTGATACAGAGATTGTAAATAATATTGCAGACAAAACGAATCAGCAGTCAGATGTAAATGAAAACATGTTAAGAAAACAAAATGCAGATGATCCGCCCTATACTGCACAGGAAATTGCAGCATCATCTGGGTCCTTTCTGCTCACAACTGACAGACTAGAACAGGCAGGTTGTTCACCGCTAATTTCAAAAACCCCAGATATTGTTGTAAATGCAAAGATGAAAGAGAATGAAGCATATACGGGCACTCTAGAATTTGATATTGGTCAAAAAGGGAAGAGAGAAGGACATGTAAATTCTAAACATGAAAATGATTTATGCAATGTACCTACAAATGTTAGAGACAATAAGTTAAATAATGAAGACAAATCTGAAAGATTCAAGCAGGCGAAAGGAGAAGATCACAACAAGGAGAGTGTGAAGGAAACTGAAGAAGAATCCAGTGCAAAAAATGAAACTAGTGCCTCTCAGGAAGAAGGAAATGAACAGAAAAATGGGAAGCAGGATGAAAGAAAAGAACAAGAAGGTATGGCTTTTACCGAGCACAGCAGAGTGGAAACAAATAACTTTGAAGCATCTTGTGCTGATTCTCAATCTGCTTTGACAACACAGAGTCCTAATGATGACATCAAATGTGATTCGCTTCTGATGCACTTACAGGGCGATACACTTCTGACTGAAGAACTTGTTCAACATGTGTCTGTAGACAATGTAAGAATTAATAAAGATGTATCCGAAGGGTTCAGGCAGGTGATGGGAGGAGAGCAAAACAAGGAGTGTGTGAGAGAAAATGAGAGACACAACGTAAAATCTGTCACAGAAAAGAACAGCAAAGAAAGGACAAATACCTCTGAAGAACAGAAGAAGACTGCGGCAAAAGAAAATTTTGATCAAACACAAGGAGAGAATCAGACATTAATAAATCACTTCAAGTTATCAGGAGAAGAAAAACTATTAAATGAAACCATTCCAAGAGGAAAATTGCAGTCTAGTTTTGTGCCTGATCCTGATTTTCCTGAGAGAGACCACACACAAGATCCGAGGGCCTTGAGCCAGTCAGATTTGGTATTTTCACAATCCCAAGAGCTTCAGCAGCAACATAAGTTTATGAGTGCCCCAGAAGCAGTGTTAAGTGTGGATAAAAGAAATGGTTTAAAAAATGCCGAGACCAATAATCATGCAGATGCTGAGGCAAGTGAAACGCAAGAGAAAGTGATGGTGTATTGTAGCGCAGAGGCTCAAGGTTCCCTAAACAGCACATCAGAGAGTGCCATATTGGTGGGGAGCAATGACACAGATGTTGCTGTGTACAATGTATGTCCACAGAATGAAGAGCAGAGTATGCAAAAAATAGGTCTTAGTGGTGGGAATTTTCCTGTTTGTGTCGAAAGTATTTCAAGTGAAATTCAAACACAGCCGGCTCTCACCTTGTCTGTCACAGCATTGTCAGCTTCTGAAACTTCAGTAGTCAAAAAGGTTATAGAGGCTACAGAGGTAAAAGAGCCTTCAATCTCAGCATCACAGAAAAGTGTGAGTAAACATGCAGAATTTACCAAATCACAGACTAGTGTGGACGAGCATGTAAATGTGTTGGATGAAATCCTTGACACCAAGAAAGGCTCAGAACTTCCTATAAATGACTCAAGTGAATTCTCTGTACTTCCCAGCCTCTCACACCATGCAGCAGGACTAAAGACAAATGAGAAATATTTCGGTTCTGTTACCCCTGGAGACATTGGAGACACTGAGATCCATCCTGATTCAATGAGTGATATTGCACAGATGTCTCCTGCAGGAACTTTCCAACTTCAGCAAGCGAAAGAGTTAGTTTTTCAGCCCTCTGATGAGCAGCTCTCCACCACATTCACTTTATCTGCTTCTGTGCTCCAGGAAAGTATTGAAGAGGAAAAAGAGATAATTGTGGACCATGCTTCTAAAGATGCAGTAGAGTCCAATGCTCCTAATTCCTCTCAGCAATCTGAGACAGCCGCCTGGAGGATGGAGCAGCTTAATAAGCATTTGTCAGAGCAAGTCCCAGTCCGTACCCAAATCACAGAGGAGCAGGATACACAATGTTCTGAACAGCAGCTCATGCAGTCACAACATGTAAGAACTTGTTCAGGCTCTGAAAACACAATCAGTACTATGAAAGCAGAAGACACCGGTTCAAATGACAGACAACAGCCAGAAGGAATTCAAGAAAAGATAAATAAACATATAGAGGATGAAGAAGAGAATAAGACAGTTGAAAAAGAATGCATAGAGATGTCCAAAAGGGCTGAACCTAAGTCTTCAGAGTCTGCAGTGAAAGAAAGCATATCCAAAGAAAACCAAAGCAAGCTGGAGGAGCACTCTTTATCTTCCCCTGATGAATCAATAGTTGGTAATGTAGACCAGCCAATAGAGGAAGTCACTGATGGGACACTGATTGAAATGAAAAAGGTTGTGTCATTGTCATACCCTGAGACCGCTGTCTACTTAGTGACTGACCCTCAGGATTCCCTCCAGCCCCCTCTCACAGTCAATCAACAGTCTAGTCAGCAGCCCACCAACAAGTCTTTTATTCAAACTTTATGTGAAACTGTCACAGATGCATCTAAAAGTAGTAGCAAGCAAAATCCTGACACAGCAGATAGCTATTGTGGAGATATAGAATCGCTTCTTACTGCAAAAGCAACACTGAAAGATTACAGTGAAGTTAGTGAAGCGGAAGTCAGCAAGGTGTCAGAATCTGCAGATGTGTTTCTGGGTTCAGACCCAGGAACCGTTCAGGTATCACCGGTTAGAGACAGTTCAGATAGACAAGACCTGAGTGTAGTCTTTGTACGTGAGAGTTCAGTCAACTCTTCTGAAAGTTCTGATTGGCTCAGAGCTCTGAAGGAAGCAGCCTCCATGTCTCAGATCATTCCAGAGCACAGAGATGAGACTACCTGTGGAGCTACAGAAAACAGGTACTTTTCAAATCGATGTGGTTGTTTTTTTAAATGAGAGACAGTGAGGGAAAGTGACTTTGTTTCACTCACAGAAATGTCAAAATAAATGTAGTGGTTTTCATTGACACACACATATACATATTAAATTATTTATTAAGAACAGTGTATCACAGAACCTGGAATTGAATATAATCATAGATGTAAACAAGTGTTTTATGATTGTGTGATGTTTTGTGTGAAAAGCCCATTATCTCCTGAGAGTGACCTCAACAGTGACATCAACTCGTGCCCTTTAGGGCAAGAAAGAATCCTTTCATACCCACGCACAAACACACACTGGGCTTCTCATATTTGAGCGCAACACATACACTTGCATGCATACAGGCTATAAGACGTTTGCATTGAGACAAACAGTAAGCATAATTTATTCATCTGCTCTTTTTGTTTATTATTCTTTCCAGACCATTTGAGACCCTCGGTTCGCCTCAGGCTGAACTAGAATTCCGAACCCCAACTGAGGAATATTTCCCCCCTGCTCCTGATGAGAGTTCCCCCCCTGCTCCTGAGGAGAGTTTGCCCTTTGCTACTGAGGAGAGTTTTTCCACTGCGCCTGAGGAGAGTTTTCTCTCCGTTACTGAGCAGCCAGAAGAACAAGAAGACTGCAGGTGAGACTTTTGTAAATACCCCTTATGCACTTTCTTTGGTTTGTTATTGAATCTACTGCTACAAACCACACAGGAATGTGAATGACTATTTTAGGATACAGGATGTAAAAATAATGCTGTTTAGGTCCAGGGAATATCATTAATGATAGAAGGCTCATGCAGTGCAGGTGGGGGCATCACTTCTTTTCTTTAAAAATAAATAAATGTCTGTGTTCGATGTTTGTCTGGATGGTCTAAATTGGATACATGTGAAGGATTCTGTCTATTTCATTGCTTAAATTAACCATATTGCTATGTGGGTATTCAAAGATCTATTTCTTGAATTGTCTTTAAAGAACAGGTTTAACATCAATGAGCATCGTACTTGGCTTCCTTTAGGTGACTTTTCTTGTTCTCTCTCATTTTGATAGTACCCCCCACTCCCTCTCTTCATTCTATATCTGCTCTGTTGCAGCAGCCACAACAGATGAAAGTGGAGCACTTGGTGCTTGTCAGTCAAAGATTTTAGCCTCATTTAGAAAGACACGTGGGAGCCAGAGAGACAGAAAGATAAAAGGAAAGAGAGAGTGGTGGACAAAATGATAAAGAGGGGAAAGAAGAGAGACAAACTTTGACTGTGTGCATTTGACCCAGTATCCCTGAGCGCCCCACACTTTGTTACTTGACATAGATGTGGACTAAAGGAATTTTGCCTGTATCTGTCAGTATGTGTGTGTATGCACATGTCTTGCTAAAGCATGCATATGTGTTTGCTATTTGCACCAACGCCCTCACATGAGGTCATACCAAGAGGTCTGTCAGTCTGGAACAAAAGCCATCGTTCAGGGCAGCTCCAGTTGAGAATATTAGCCTACTCCGTGTGAATGGATAGATGGATATATATATATAGATAGATAGATAGATAGATAGATAGATACTCACAAGAGACTGAGAGAAAGGGAGAGAGATAGGGAGAAATAAAAGAGAGAGGGGGTGTAAAGTGGCTGCCTGAGGAATTTTGAGTGGCTTGCCTAAAAGAATAGTCGCACTCTTTACTTTGGGTGCTGATCTCGGGTGAGTTCTATACTGTCCTTTGCTGTTTAAAATGATGTTTTTCTCTTTTGATTTGACTAATAGTGGAAGTTGCTGAAGAATACAGGCTTATGGGTATTTGGAGAGATGCTAATTACAGATGGTTTGTGATGATCTCACTGAATAGATGGGGGGAGGGTCAGTAGGAAGACAGGGAGGAAATAAGGAAGTGTGTCTCTTTATGTCTTTCAAATTTGCTGGCTTGCTCACGCTTTGTTTTGACAGCATCAGACAACTGATGCTAATGATTTGGTCAGTGTTGACAGAAGGTTAAATTCCGTTATTGTAAGCAATGAAGTAGATTACACAGGACTTTATGGTTGCAGTCAAGATACCTTTGCTCTTGGTAATGTGAGATAAACATCTGTAAAAACCTTGTGTCACCGCTAGACCTGTTTTTTGACTTGAACCGATAAAATGCTAATGCATATAGTTTGTGACATGTGAATTTACTCTATTGAATTTTGGAATAATCAGAGATGGTGTTTTCAACTAGACGTGGCTTTTGAGGGTTTGTACAGTGTATAAAGGAATTACAGTGCACAACTATTGCCTGAAGTATATAGTCAGATGTTTTAGGCTAACTACCAACTTTCCACATCAATGAGCTAATATTATCTTGTTAAGGTAACTGTGCCAATTTTAATAAAAGCTTGAGCAGCTACCATTTGTTAAAGCTCTTAGGTTTCCCTTCAGAGGAAACCAGAGAGCTTATTTTCTGTATTATTTAGGAAGCTGCAAATTTTTCTTATACTAGTGCCTCAACAGCTGAATGGAAACACAGCAGTGTTATAAAATTACCATAATATCCAGCTGACTGCAATTGTATTGAATTAAAATTTAAGGTTAAGTTTATTTGAGAGCTCATGCTAATTTTTATAGTGCCCACCACACAGTTACCATTATAGGTCGCATACAACAGGATTCTGTTTCCAACTCTTCACACATTTTATACAGGGCAGCTGAATATGTAATTTCCAAACTGTTCCATGTAATTTGGATGGATTGTTCCTTATTCCACATTTGAGGGTTCAATTCAATCTATTTTGAATCCACTTGTAATTTTACATCTGAAGTGAATGAACGTTTCTGTGTGGATGCAAAAGCTCCCGAGAGAGAGAGAGAGAGAGAGAGAGAGAGAGAGGTAGGGGTTGGCTTGGAAACCTTATGATGCGTGACTAGAGCTAAGCAACAGTGACCATGGCAACAAGTGTTATCCATAGCAATTATTTTGAGTTAATGAAACAATTATTTTAGGGAAGCTTTTAAAAGAGGTGCTTAGTCAAAATGTTTAACAATTGTACATTATAAAACAAGACATAAGGCCCTAATAATACTTGTCTAATTATGCTTTAAATATTGCTGTCAGTCAGTTTGATGGAGTGTGTCTGTGAAAAGGCTAGATGGTGGCTACGCTAACAGTAGTGACGTTGTTATTTTTTATGGCTGGTAAAACAGCAACTCCCTCCTGCTGCCTTTATTTTCTGCAGTCTGTTTGCTATTAAAAACCCTGTCTGGACTTATTCCTATAGACACAGCTGCTCCTGGGAGATCAGATTGTGTGTTTGGGCTCTTTCTATTAACTATGGTGCATTTTAAACCTTGTTGTGTACAACATTAAAGTTGTGTTTTGTGGTTATGTCTAGCAATCTCCCACTATCCGGCTAAAGCAAAATAAGGAGAGGATCATAAGAGTAGGCCTGATTAGAGGGCAACTCTGCTAACTGTCTACAACTGTTACTGAAAGGATAGCGCAATGCTATGTGCAGTTGTTTAAGCAGTGTGGTGGAGACTGGAGTGAGTTGTATTTTTAGGATGTGACATGAGGCACACCCCTTGATAGGAGCAGCTGAAGGGCTGTCTCCTGCTCTGCCTGTTGGATTAGGGTTTGTTTGTGATATTGCTCAGCTATTGCCATTTTTCCCTGCCAAGAGTGTAGTAGGGTGATTTAGTAGGAGTGATATAACGTTTTGTGATTTATTATTGTATGAACAATTATGCAATGTAAATGTATCTACAATTATGAATCAATCAGTGGTCTTGGGGTCGGTAAGATTTTAAAAATACTTTTTAAACATCTTATGCTCACCAAGGCTGCAATACAGGGATACAGTAAAAATAGTAATATTGTCAAATATTATTCCAGCTTAAAATAACTGTTTTCTATTTTATTATGTTTTAAATTTTAACTTATCCCCAATGGTGACACAGCTGCATTTTCAGTTGCAATTACTCCAGTCTTTAGTGTCACACTGAATAGAAACCTTGATACATTTTTCCAGGATTATTTGATGAATAGAACGTTCATCAAGATAAAGATATTCAAATAAACAGATTTGAAATTGAAATATTTTGTATCATTGAAAATGTCTTTACTGTTACATTTGATTAAATTAATGCATCCTTGTTTAATAAAAGTACAAATTTATTTAAAAAAACAAAATCTTTTTGTAGATTTTTTTTTGTTTTATTATTTATTTTTTTTGTTCGAATTTTGTTACATTTTGGGAGTCATTGTTTAAAAATTATGAAATATTATTAACAATATATATATATATATATATATATATATATATATATATATTTGTTTTTTATCTTACTTCATTGATGTCTGAGATGTGAGATCAGATTCTTATTGCTTCTATTATACTATAATAATGGTTTTTACATGAACCATTTTATAGGTGACACTGCTTCTCTCCTTACCCTGCCCTGTGTGCGTTTGCATGTGTTTTTGTGGTGTTAATGTTTGGAAATGTATGTGTTGTTCAGGCCCCCTCTGATAAAATCTGCTGAGAGGAGTGAGCCTGTCGCCTCTCCCTCATCACCCCCACCACAGCACAGCATTGCTCCTGCCCTCCCTGCCCACCTGCTGCAGGACACAGTCGAGTTCCCCACACCACCCCCTACCCCTCCGGACAGGGCTGCCCCTGAGCCTCAGACCCTTCCTCCTGCTCCTTCTGATATACCTGAGACTCCCCCTCTGCCTCCTCAAATCCAACAGCTCCAGCACTCTGAACCTTCAGCAAGGTAGGATATAATCATTTACCCAGTGGGCTAACTGTTTAACAGTATACAGTTTTTTTCTTCTTTAAAAGATTGTTAGAATGCCCAATTTCAGAGATGATGTTTCACTCGAATTCAGTTTCTATTATTTTTGCTTCATGTTTATTGTAAAGTACCTTCATGGTTTGAGATAATGAGGAGAAATGTTTTTACCATTTATACAGTCTTCCCTTCCTATTTGGGCATGACTATTCACATGTGGTGAGAAGTTATGAACATTGATTTAGATTCATCTGACTTTTAGGATCAGTAACATCACTTTACGTCTGTAGGTCTTTGTTGATTGTGCTGATAATAATAGCAGTGATGATCCTGAGGCATTTGTGCCACACACAGGATGTACAGTATGTACAGTACTGTACACTGAGTAGTACCTCAATACACGCTGCGTTTCCCCTGTGTCTGTATTCATTTTATGTAGCACCCAGAAATTAATTTACATAAAGTCTATTGGCACCAGGCTTTGTATGCATCTTCACAGCACTGTGTATGCAGAATACGGTGGTTTTAAAAACGATTTGGACACTTTAGTCACGATTAAATTGTATTGAAATTATTACATTAGTAAACCAAATTGTAAAACCAAGTGGCATCTACAAGCAAATGGTTCTAGACCTTAGGACTAAATTCACTGTTGACATATTTACTGTTAACCAACTGCCCTCAAGGTGATTTTTAGTGGTTGAAGTCACTTCCCCTCAAGTTTACACAGATGTCAGCACATATGATACATGGATATGTTCCACTAACATTTGACAGTTAGAAAGTGTTCAAATACTAGTAGACAATTTTCGAAGAGCTAGCTTTAAAAGCATAAGATCCCATCCTCCCTTCGGGAGCAAACAAAAGCAAGAGGCGGTGTTAAACTACCTCATGTCTCACGCACATAACATTACAGTAATAATGGACAAAAAACAACTTAGAGCACTGACTTGGACCACCTGACTGCTGCAGATTAATTTCGCCGTTGATAGTATTGGGTTTCCATCTCTTCCAAATTGTGGTGTGAACGCAGCATAAGCTTGTTTTTGTTCAGGAGGAACTTTAAAAGGTGGCTGCTGTTTTGGTTGCGGTGCTCGCTGACTGACGTCTGTCTGACTCTGAATAGTATGAAACGTGCTGATGATGTGTGATGTCTGCTTAAGCAGGGTGTGCGGAGGTATGGAAATAGATATGTTGACAAGAAGGTAGGACATTGTATCTTTGCATTTGGACCGAATTCATTGACTGGACGAACATTTTATGGTCTTATGCCTTCCACAGACGATATATACATATAAATACATTTAAACCACTTAACTTAGTGATTGAAATCAAGATGCGAAGAGACTTTCAACCAGCATAACAAAAAAAAAAAAAAATCTGGATAAATCACCTCTCCTGTCTTTAATTTTGAGGAGAATATCTATTACGGTATTTTAGTACCAAAACAATTATTTAAAACTGAAATGTTTTGCTTGAAAAGGGTGCTTATTTGCCACATTTTTATTTTGTTATCTAATGCAATGACATTCATAAAATTTACAGCTTGGCTTAAGTATCCAAATACTTTTTGTGGCCACTGTATTTATGCTATAATTTCATTATAACAAATGCATAAAAATCTGTTGCTTTAAGATACAATTGTTGCAATTAAGTGCTTTGATACTATTGTAGGTGACTAATTTCCATTTGTGTACATTGTTGTAAAAGTTTATACATCTATCTGAAACTATGCAGTGTTTGGATTAGAGAGCAGGATGACTCGGCCACGTTGGCATGGCCGACAGGCAATGAGCTCAGCTTGCATTTCTTTTATCAGACAGTAGAGGGCGATCATGTATGTGCATGTGTTTCTTTCTGCACTGGACCTGAGCTCTGCTGCCCACTGCAGCACAGTTTGAAAAACACACATCAGAACAGGCATATAGTTTGCAGTTTTGAAATAAACTGTTCTACACTGTAACTATGGCAAATGTACACCTTTGTATCTTATCTACCCATAAAGGAAACAGAATGCATATTACTACTAACATGCACTCTTTAGCGATATATAAGGCACAGAGGTGGACCTTCGAGTGGCAAGCTATTGTAGCAATATTTGTACATTTTTGACAGTGTACAGTTCAATCAAATTACCCGTCTAATTCACACTTGACCCCTGTTAAATCAAACTGTTAAAAAAACAGACCTATGTTATATAAAGAGAGTGTAAATATGCACAAACAATGATCTAAATGATGTAAAATCTAAAAGCAGCATTTGCATAATGAGATTTCTTTAGGAAGACCCCCACCATCCAGCCACATTAAAACTGATGTCCTGAGGCGCCAGCTTGATGCATCTCAACATAAAACTTCCATTAGGGGAATGAAACTGCCTCCAAGGGCATTCCTCCTTTATCTTTTCAGTCTTTCTCTTTATCTCTTTTGATAGAGAGGTCATTTGTTAGTATTTATGATTTTGATTAACAGTATTTAAACACACAGTAGTTCTGGTTTGTAAGACATGTTCAGGCATGTTTACACATTTGTCATGGCAAAATGTAGCTCAATATAGTTCAATATATCAAGCTTAATATAATCAATATATCACACTGGTGGCAGATTTAAGGGTTTGAGAGTCATAGCAAATATGAATATTTTTCCCAGACCAAAAATGAATAACTGAATTTGCTCTCTCTTTACTCCTGTACTATACTTGATGCTGTAAGTAAGTTCAACCTAGATACTAAAAGCCCATGTTATGAATCTTTAAACAAAAAACTGCCTTTGCAATATCTTTCAGTGGTTGCACCACATCAAAATCTTAATTTTCAATTTCCTTTGACTGAGCATAGGATGAACTTGTCAGTACACACTATAGACTCTCTGTATGACAGCATTATTTTAAATGTCTTTCATTGTAAAATAAGTAATTTAATGCCATTCTGTCTTCTAGCTGAATGACACAGACAGACATTAAACTTGTGACAAGTCTTTAAAAACCCCTCTCCTGTTGCTGTAATTTATCATCTACTTTTTTCCATCACTCTTGCTCTTGAAAATCAGAGTGAGAGAAAAGTAGCCCCTGGTTTCTGCTGAGATGAAAACAAATGCTGCATATAGAAGATGGATTCACTGGTGGAGGTTTTTGCTTTCTTGGATCATTTTATATTAAAAAAAAAATGTTTTGGTAGTGGTTTGTCCTGCAGTGGATTTGAAGAGAATGCTCTCTCACGGCCCTCGGCCTCGTCCTGCTCGCCACAGCGAGTATTTCAGTTTGTTTTATGTGGGTTAAAGGCATATGGATCACCATTTACCTTGTTACCTGTACCTAGTATTTGTGTTTATTAAAGCAGAACAAAGAGATTTTCACTATTTTTTTATACTATTTTTTTAAACCAAGTTTTTCAACATTTTTTACATAAAATAATGCAGAAATACATTAAAATAGATCTTTATGACTTTTGAATTTTATTTGTTACTATAATCTGTTGTTTGGCTCACTGTTGGACAGTCTTTCTTTAGAAAAATAAATGCTTTATGCACTCTTTAATCTCTTATTTTATAATATTTAAAAAAAAAAAACTTTTATAGTTGATTTCTTTCTTTCATTCTTTCTTGAAGAGTCACACTCCTGAGTCAAGGCCTCAAGCTCAGAGTTTCAGGTTCATCTTAATTTTGCTAATAATTGTTTCTTCAGAGGTTCATAATAATGTCGTATACAAACACAGGAGCACAACAAAGCTTCGGTTAACTTTGGGGCATGAAACCCTTCCCTACTCCGTGTCCAGTCCTCAGGCTCTATAAGTGAATGGGCAGATCTGTGTGAAAATCTCTTTGTTCTGCTTTCTCATGAGTGAACAATAGATTTGTAATCCTCATATTTCAGATCCCCCCCCACCAATGTCCCAATTTCCCACAACTGCTGCTGTCTCAGGCTGTAAATCAATATGGATTAGCTCGACGGGTATGAATTGCTGTTACTCCCCTTCAGGCTGATAAACTCTTTTCTTTGAGTTGTCTCTCATTTTCATGCTCTGTCGTTTTCATTCTCATTTCATTTTCCAGATCAAACCAACAATCCCTTTCACAACATATCAGTTGAATTAGTGAATGTATCTGTTTCTGTCATTTGAGAACATCAGGACTGATGGCTGCCTTCTGTCATTACCCCTTCTTGTTCTCAGAGGGGTCGATAAATCATGACTTTGACCTGAGCAAATAGAAAGATCTGAAACCATTGAGAGAGCAGTAGTAAATCAGGTCTGTTGTACATGCAGTTCATTTATGCTCTATTGGTTGATTTTATTGGATGTTGCTATTGGATACATACTCTGTTGATCTTGTGATAGGCAAGAAGTATTTTAATGTTTCATTGACCCCAACAGAACCCATTTGACAGACATTTTTCAAGCTTTAACTCTTGAAATGCACTTTATAGAAATGTCATGGTATCAGAGAATCCACTGAATTCATTGAATTGAATGTTTATGTACAGACGTAATGTAATATTTTTAATGTGATGCATGTTATCATGCTGAAATTGTATTTATACTGTAATTAATTTTCATCAGATGATGAAAAATCACGAAGAATGAAACAAATACTGTATTAAAGGGATAATTCTCCCAAAATGTAAATTTCTGTCATCAATTATGTCGTTCAAAACATGATTTACTTTCTTTCTTCTGTGGAACAGAAGAAGATGTCTTAAGAAATGCCTCAGTGTTTTGTAATCGATACGTTGAAAGTCAATGGGCTCCAAAGTTGTTTGGACCCAACATTATTTAAAATATCTTCTTTTATGTTCCACAGAAGAAATAAAGTCATACAGGTTTGGAAGACCCTAAAGAGACCATAAGGGTTAAGTTTCTTATCCAATTAAGTTTCTTTAGAGAAATCTACTTTGACGGGGATGGATATGATTTAAGGGAATCACGAAATAGTAGGAACACAGAGAAACAACAGAGCATAACAAAAGACAGGAGTGACCACATGCCT